TTGATTTGTGACCTAGGGTATTACTGATCTTGGAGAATGATCCATTAGCTCATGAGATGAACATATATTCAGCAGTATTGGAGTAAAATGTTCTGTATATGTCTGTTAAGCTCACTTGTTCTAAAGTTGTATTTAAGTCCAGCATTTATTTTACTTTCTGTTTGGAGGATCGGTTAGTAGGGTGTTAGAGTCCCTGGCTATTATGGTTTTATTGATTATCACATCATTCAGATCAATGTGTTTGCTTTATAAATCTGAAGGCATTTAAGTTGGGTGTATAAATATTTATGACTGAAATTTCTTTTTGTTGGATTGTTCCCTTGACCAATATATACTGCCCATCTTTGCTTTTCTTTACTTTTGTTGCTTTAAAGTCAATTATAATTGCAATAATAATTTCCACTCTTGCTTTCTTTTGGTTTTCATTTGCATGAAATATTATTTTCCATCCCTTTACACTGAGTTTGATTTATGCTTAGATGTGTTTCCTGAAGACAGAATAGATTTGGCTTGTATTTTTTTATCCAGTCAGCCACCCTGTGTCTCTTCAATGGGGAATTCAAGATGTTCACATTTATTGAGAGGATTGATAGGTAGGGTGGAGTTTCACATCTTTTGTGCAGGGCTCTACTGCCTTATTTTACCACATGCGGCCACTGTGGTAGCTAGGTTTTCTCCTTTGGTTTCCAGATGTCTTTACTTTGCTGGTGTCCATTGTGTTGGCATGTGTACAGTTTAAGTCTGAGTATTTCCTGCAGAGCAGATCTTGTAATGACTAATTTTCTCAATGACTGTTTATCAGGAAAAGATTTGATTTCTCCATTAAATATAAAACTTAGTTTATAGGATATAGAATCCTGAGCTGGCAGTTTCTTTAAGAAGATTGAAGGTAAGAGTCCACTCTTTTCTAGTTGGTAAAATTTCCACTGAGAGATCAGCTACCAACCTGATGGATTCGTCCTTTTAGGTAAACTGCTGCTTATGCCTGGCCGATTGCAGAACTCTGTCTTTCACTTTGACTTTGTCCAAGTCAACTACAATGTGTTTAGGAAAAGCTCTGTTTAAATTGAGTTATCCTAGGGTTCAATATCCATCTATTACAGTGGTTCTCAACCTGTGAGTCACAACCCATAGGAACTGTATTAAAGGGCCACAGCATTAGGAAGGTTGAGAACCACTGATCTAGTAGGTAGGTATACATCTCAATCGTTGATGATGCTTGAGAAATTTTCTGCTATCAATATAGTATCATCAACTAGAACTTTATACTTTAAAGATTCTCTTCCTCTCCAAGGGTAACTATAATTCCTATGTTTGTATACTCTTTGTAGTCCCATAACTCTGTTAGATTGCTCTCTTCTGCCTCTTTATTTATTTATTTATTTTTTGAGACAGAGTCTCTAGCTGATGCCCTGGGTAGAGTACCATGGTGTCATAGCTCACAGAAAATGCAAGCCACAGATGTAATTGGAAAATTTATAGTAACCACATTTTTAATAAAGAAAAACAGTTGACATTAATTAATAATATATTTTATTTAACCTAATATATCCAAAATATATTAGGGCTCAAGGGATCCTCTTGCCTTAGTTTTTCTAATTTTTTTAGTAGAGACAGGGTCTTCCTTTTGCTCAGGCTGGACTCATACTCATGAGCTCAAGCTATCCACCCACCTCAGCCTTCCAGAGTGCTAGGATTACAGGCATGAGCCACCACGCCCAGCTCTTCTGCCTCTTTAAATGACTGAGTTAGATTGAGAGCTTTCTCAAGTTCTGAGATTCCTTTTTTCTCCATGGTTTTATCTGTTGTTGAAACTTTCTACTATACTTTTAAACTCCCTTAATGCCTTATTCAATTCTTTATTCCCAGTTATACCTTTTTTAATTTTGTCCATGACTCTGTCTTCCATTTTATTAATTTCTTTGAACATTTTTGGGACTTTTTGCTGATTTTCCACTTTCCCTTCAATTTCCTTCATTATCTGAATTCCATTTATGTCACTTCCACAATTTTATAGTTGGAATCTTCTATAGTAGCTCCATTGTGATCCATTGGGGGAGTTGACCTGTTCTGGTTTTTCATTAGCCAGAGATTTTTTGTTGGGTTCTCCTTGTGTGTGATTTTTCTTCTTTATTTTCCTTCCCTGCTTTCTTCTCTATTTTCTACCTTCCCTTTATTCTTCCTTAGCTCTGGGCCCCTGGGGTTAAAATGACTTATTATCTTCTTAGGTATCCAGGAGAGCAAAAAATTCTTTTAGTGAGAACATGAGGTGGCACTCCAGTATCAGGAGAGATAGCACCTTCTGAATATGAAGATCTATGTCTGGATTTTGGGTTGCCTGGTGTTCATCAACTGGTTGTAAACGATATTATAGCTAAGCTTCTTGTTCCTATTTTTTAAGACCAGGGTTTGGTGGGGGTGCCACAAGCCTGGAGGATATGCTGGATGGTCAGGATATGGCTACTAGTGGGATTGGTTAGAGAGTGACATGCCTTGCTTGAGCGGGCATCATGCCTCAGTGATCCAAAGTAGACCTGGAATTTAAAAGGAGGACCATGTGCAGGGCAGAACCACCTGATCTGTTTGGCAAAGCTGTGGGATCAGCCCAAAGGGGTTCCCTAAGCTCAGAAGGCCACAGGATGCACTTTCACAAATACACACATGCTCACTCAGACTGGGATATTGTAGACATATCAATTAACCTATTGTGCCAATCTTTGGGACAGAGGAGGAAATTGGAATACCTTGAGAAAACCCACACAGACATAGGAAGAATATGCCAACTCAAAACAGGCCCTGGCTGGGAATTGCTTGGTTTCTTTCATCAACATTATAATGAAATGGCATTGTCTGAGGGTCCTGCTGTGTACATTCTATGAAATCATTCCTTCTCACAATAAATCAAAGTCTGTTGAAATCACTGATGTTATTCATAAAAGTCATTGATGTTATTCATAATGGAATACAGAGGCAGGAAAAGAACACAAAAGGATACCCTCCTCTCCTATAGCACCAATTCACATTATTCCTTTAACACTAATTCTCAAAATATAAGTATTGAAATCATCTCTACCTCAAAAACAAAATTATCATTAACAAGTTAAATAACTATCATTAACAAATTATAGCAACAGATGTCTTTTTGGCTTTCTCAAAACATTTTTGGAATACCAGCTGATTTGTTTTGGGCATACATTACATTTTAGAGAATTATTTGCAACCATAAAAATTAAGTTCAATACTATAATTCCCTCCTCTTAGATATTGGTTTTTTTTTTAGGTTTTAGAATTATTCATTTATGCCAGAAGTGTATAATGATACTAGTGTCCTGATATTTTGAAAAGCTATATAGATGACCTCAGAGCTAAATTCACTTTTAAACTATCACTTAAGACTAGACAGTATGTCTTTGATATTAATTATAAATAGGCATTGATTGCCACTAAAAGAGTGAAAAAAAAAATGTTCTATTAAAAAATCAAGGCTCGGCGCCTATAGCTCAACCGGCTAAGGCGCCAGCCACG